TATAACTTTGACAACATCATTTAGTAGCTTGGATAATACCGCATCGCTTTTGTTTCGCGATATTTCTCATATCTGTTATAATAAGGGAGGGGGAGACTAATGCGTTTTCAGATGTTTACATTCAAATATCTCCTGAACCATTCAACCGATTTAAATATTTGAGGTCTTGTTTGAAAGATCATTTTATGCTCTTTTAAAAGATTTTCAGTAAGACCGTGTGATTTAAAACAAATAAGCTAGAGGGCGTTATCTGCAGAGATTACATATTTTTGTGATTTTTGAAAAAAAGTTAAATGGAACGGTACTATTTACTTCACAGACCCTTAGTCACCATAGAATTTTCTAAATATTAGTGACTATTTCATTCATAACGTTAACAGCCAATAAGAATTCGCGGTTTTCCGTCAATTGCGAGTATTTCAGCGGTTATTTGGCCGTAACCATGGAGAACGATAATACGAACCTTTGTATTATCGCTGTACACGACAATCGAAAATACACGAATCTCGACGTATTGCCTTAAAAAACACCACTCGACCTTCGGTCTCGTGGTGTTTCAGGCAATACGTCTCGTATTATCGAGTATTTTCGATCGTCTTGTTGTATAATATATGAAAATCGCATCTCGATATTTCCATCCATTCTCGAATTATAGAAGAAAATGTTAAAAATTCGTATATCTTAATCGAATCAAGTTACCTTAGCAAACAAATAAGAGAGCACAAAAACGTTATTACCTTCCTTCACATTTTATCCAAGCTTAGAATTGGTTCAAAACTACTTTTGAGGCGTATTTAAAAACCAACGGATCAATGAAATATCAACAATGATAATAAAACAAAATAAACCAAAACACTTAGAATTACTTAAATTTTTGGCAAAAATAGCTCACAAATGTTCAAAATGCCTTCCATAAAGCTCAATGCATTTATTTAATCTAGTTTCGACGAGACGCTGTTTAAGTCTCAGTCCTAGACACTATTCTAATGGCATTTGTGGGTTTTTCTCGAACCAAGAATGCATATTATGCAAGTTTACAACAGCTTGTTGAAAGATGCTTCATGCATTCATAGCATTTGTGATAAAAGGTTTGGATTTGCCCGAATCATATTTAAAAGTCAATAATAATAGTTCAGTCTGTTATCATAATCGGTATCTGTTAAGGCCTGATGTAAAACAATGTGGTGGAGATACATATTATTCTCTTTAGGAATCTTGTGGACAATTGTTTTCGGGGTCCCAGATAATGTGGGATCGCATCGCGCACCAATGTGGTTTCCGAATTCATAGAGATATCTGAAGGGGCTACACGTTGCCCTTATATTAAAAACACTTCTAGAGAAAAATGTCTTTCTTTATCGTACTTGCATTGCACATTGTTGCCATGCAGTTGCATCATATTCGAAACATTGAAACATGTTTACAGTTATCATGGTTATGTGATTTGTTTTTCTCGATGAGGTAACTGGATCCGATTGATGGCACTCGAGTTTTTAACATTTTCTTCTATAATTCGAGAACGGATGGCGATATCGAGATGCGGTTTTCACTAATATTTAGTAAATTTTAAGGTGACTCAGGGTCTGTAAAGTAAATAGTACCGTTTGATTACAAAAATTTGTAATCGCTGCAGATAACGCCCTCTAGCTTGTTTTAAATCACACGGTCTTACTGAAAATCTTTTAAAAGAGCATAAAATGCTCTTTCAAACAAGACCAAAAATATTCAAATCGGTGAAATGGTCCGGGAAATATTTGAATGTAAACATTTGAAAACGCATTAGCCTCCCCCTCCCTTATTATGACAGATATGAGAAATATCGCAAAACAAAAGCGATGTGGTATTATCCAAACTATTAGATGATGTTGTCAAACTTATAGCTCATCTTCTAAGTTTCTGAGATAGCGGGAATTTTATGCTTCCCAGTGGCAGTTACGCCGCCTAGCCGTCGAATTACAAACTTCAAAATAATTTCCAGCTATTTCTCTTGCCCACTTTGCCTATAAGGATTTTTTTCCCAAACCTCTAGTCCTTACCGTTGTCGAGATACAGCCGCTCCGTACGCTTAACGGGACATCCTGTACAGGGTGAGTCAGAAAGAATAGAAATCCCGAATACCGAAAATATGATGATTTAACCTAACATCTCTTATACAAACGTCAGTGGTTTTCGAGGCACAGGGTGTTGAAAGGTAAATTCTTATTTCGAAATTTCTTGATAATTTTGAAGCTTTTTGTACTATTAACATTAAATTTGGCAGTTTTATGTTTTCGAGCATAGAAATACGAATTTGAAACTTGTTTTGTTATTACTCGTAGAGGGCGTTAGATACACACAGTTTTTTGGCTGTCGAGCTACGACCAATAAAAGCTACAAATCACAAAGAGCATTCAATTTTACATAAAAAGGTACTCTTATTTAAATTGTCTAAGTCTATCGGTTTTCGAATTATTTACCTTTAAATGGTTAATTGTATGTTTTGCTTCTAAAATTTTTTATTTTAACATAAGCAAAGTTGGCTTATTTTTCCGCTCATGTTTCAATAATTGCTTCTTAATTGTCAACATTGATTTAATTTCCGCGTGCAATAATCATTTTTACCAACAATAAAGTTATTACCAATTTGAAAATGCCACGACATAATGAGTTTTCTAATAGTGATAAGCGAGATATGATTTGTTGTTTTGCTCAAACCAATTTTAATAGTTTCGCAGCACTTCGGGCTGCTGCTCGACAAAAAAATTTAGCTCAACAAAGAAGAAGAGATCCTGGTTCGAGTTGCAGAAAATACATTATGCCCACTTTCTACAAAACAAATTACGCGAAAATGAATATTTTCTTGACAAGATTCCGTTCACTGATGATGCTCGAAAACATATAACTACCAAATTTTATGTTAATAGTACAAAAAGCTCCAAATTATCAAGAAATTTCGAAATAAGAATTTAACTTTCAACACCCTGTGCCATAAAAACCACCGACATTTGTATAAGAGATGTTAGGTTAAATCATCATATTTTGGTGTCTAGTATCTCCGGTATTCGGATTTCCCATTCATTCTGACTGACCCTGTATATTATATTTGGGCAATATTATTTTCTTCACACGTGTGACTCTGGTCTCTCAACACCGCTTCGAAGGCAAGAATTGACCGAGAACTCGACTTAATAAAAATTATTTTAAGTTTTTTATCATAAATTACTTTCTCTTCTTTCATTAAGCGTTTATTGTTCATTGCCGTAAATCTATTGAATTTGGTGGAGGTTTCAATAACTCAACGATTCCAAGGTGGCCAATCCCTTCATCAGTTGCGATCTTGTAACTACAAAAATATTCTCCGACATGGTTTTAAACTCATTGGAGTTAACAACAATTCTTGACAATTCAACAGCATCGGCTGTTGAATTGTCCTTACCTTCAACATAATGCACTGAGAAATCGAATTCCTCTAATACGAGTCTAAATTTTATCAAGTGAGAAGATGGGTTATTCATTGCAAAACGATATGTAGAGGGTCTATGGTCAGTATAAATTTAAATTTTTTTTCCATATAAATATGCTGGAAAGTGTTTTACAGCCCAAACAATTGCTAAAAGCTCTTTTTCTATTGTAGCATAATTGATCTCTGACTTGTTTAATGCTCTACTGGCGTATGCTACTGATTTATTATCTGCAAAGCAATAAATCTTTTACATTCGTTTGAATCTTTTGGAACAGGATAATCTCTAACAACAGTAATTTTGCTTGTATCCGGAATAATCCCTTCAGGCGAAATTACATGCCCTAATAATACAACTTGATTTTTCAAAAATTTACACTTTAAGGGATTCAATTTTAAATTAACCTTTTTACGTCTTTAAGAACTTTTGTTAAATTTTGACTGTGATTGCTTAAATTATTGTGAAATACTATAAGATCATCTAAATAAACAAAACACGATTCATAATTTAATCTGGACATAGCTACAGTCATAATAACCCTCGAAAAGGAATTTGGACTAGTTTTTAAACGGAAATCATTTGATATAGACCCTTACTAGAAGTAAAAGCTGTGTAACTACTACTATCTTCAGTAATTCTTCATCTAATTTTACCTGGTAGTACCCTTCAGATAAATCTAAATGTGAAAAATAAACCGTTCCCGATAACGAATCGAAAATCTCCGTCACATTTGGTAACGGTAATAGCTCGTCTTCGATATTTGAATTTAACTGTCGGTAGTCAATCACTACTCTCCAACTTTTATTACCAAAATTGTCCGTCTCTTTTGGGACAATAAAAAGAGGAGGAGACAGTTGATTTAGTTTCCTCAATAATACCGTTTTTCAATAATGTGCTTATCGATCTAAGTTTTCCGTAAATGAGGTTTCTTTAATCTAATTTCTTTCTTGCTTTCTGAAACAATATTCGTCACTGTTAACGATCTCCTTCTAAAAGAAACACATCAGCATATTTCGCGCAAATTTTGTGAACCGAATTTCTTTCTTCGCTGTTTAAATCTTTTACATCAATTTTATTTAACAATTTACTTACTCTATCTACCGAATTATGATTGTCATAAAAATTATATAAGTAAAATTTGGATAATTTACATGTGTTTGGTGAAAAATTTTGAATTTTAATTTTTTTATCATGGGTATTTAAAACACGTACAGGAATCATGTGAGACTTTGGTGTCACGATAGCTGCTGCTGTAAAAACACCTTCAGTAATTTCGTTAGGCAAAATTACACAATCGTCTACTTCATTTACCCAGAAAGTATTAACAGAAAGTATTATAAAGTATTAACTTTATTTCACAACGTGGAGGGATAGTTGTAAAACTGTTGTAGCTAAATTCTAAATTAATTGTTATTTTTGTATTAATTATTTTAATTATTGTAACTTGAAAGTTGAAAAATCAGCTGAATGCCGTGGTGGTTTATATTACTTAATTGCTTAATAACTAGTTTATAAGTAGTTTATCTTTGTTAACATACTTATAATTTCTTTTTGAATTAGGAGTATTCAAGAGGAATAAGCAACTGATTGGAAGTGTGCAATATATGTTTATCGGTAATATATGTTCCAGAAGATGTTAATCTTGAAATATTACACTTATGATTGTTTCCATTCTTGGGAATTTTGTTCGATCATTGTTTTATTAAATAGAGTGATAAAATACATTTTATTATAAACATGAACATTGCGCAATAATCCTAACCAATTTGTTTAAAATCTCCAGTACACAGGAAAAAATATAGAGTAAAAATCAACTCTAAAACATGGTTCAGATCGGTCCAATTTATTTAGAGTTATTTTTTTGCACAATATAGTGTAGGTGAATAGATTAAAAATTTACACTAAATAGTGAGAAGATGGTGTTTATTAAATAGTGTAAAATCGTTACTCTATAACAGTGTATTATATGTAATCTAACTAGATGTTGTCGTGACTCTAATTAGATACATTTCTAATCTAATCAGTGTAAATTATTAAAAATTCGCTCTAATTTTACTCTATTAATTGACAAAATATCACTAAATAGTGTGTATCTTCCACTTATTAGTGTTAATTTTTAATAGGAAGTGGAGTATTTTTAGGGAAGTTTTACGTTTGTAATAAAAATCAAAATTATAAAATATTTGTTTTTATTTTTACTTGTAATATATTGTTATAACTTAAATTTAAAAAAATTAAATTCTGTTTATATACATATATAATATATATAATACTTAATTCATTTTAAAGTTTCCACCGAGTCACCATCAAAACTGCATCTAATGAGTCTTCTATAAGTTTCCTATATGTATAGTTGCACCAAGTTGCACATACTTACCAATCTTCACAAGGAACTTGTATGTAAAATCTTCCGGAAGTTCCACTAATTTCACATCATGAATGTTTTATTTTGGCAAACATAATTAAAATAAAAATAATCGTTCTTTCTTTCTATATCGCGTAAATCAGGTCTCGAGACGCTATCGAGTTCCGACTCGTTTAGTAGATGACCGTTAAATTTTAGCTGTATCACACCACATGTTGATCACGTGGTACCGACGAGTAATCCCGAGCAAAATAGTGCGGTGCCTACGAAGTACCCGAAGGAAAAGTACACGTCTAGTGTAAAATTTAATGTTTTATATATTACATAACTTCACTAACATAAGTAAAAAAGAACTCTCCTTTAGAGAACTGTAAAAACTACTCTATTAAGTGAATAATATATGAACTCTATATTAATATTAAATATAGTGTACATTAGAGTTATTTTTACCATGTGATATTACAATTTTTACTCTAATTCTTTTTACCAACTACTCTAAAATTTTTACAGGACACGATTTTTTCCTGTGTTGGTCTACTGATAAGCTCAGAAATCTAAAATATTAAAAAAGGCTTTCATTAATTTAAATTATGTATGGTGTAAATAAAACATAAACAACAGAGTTTGCAACATCTTCACTTAAAATATATGGAAATTTCGATTAAAAAGAATCACTTGCTTGTTCGCCATGGTTCACAGAAATAATATCTGTTTTTACAACACCCGGACACAAAAACTGTAATATTAAAAAAAAAGGAAATAAAATTCATTAAAAATAATCAACTTACAGTTATTTTAATTTGGTATTGTTAGCTTCCTGGGACCCGATGACGTCGATGGGGAGCGTCGATGACGAAATCCAAGAAGAGAGAGAGAGAGAGAGACGTTAGTTAGTCAGTTAAGAATCGACCACAGAACGGAATAGATTTTGGGTGTGGTTCGAGACAATTATTGAAATAGTTATTGTTATTTTTTCGTTAATAAAGTCGTTTATTGTGAACAAAGTTGTGTTTGACTGATTACTGAACGCTCGGCCTTAAGCCTACAGTTATCAGAAGTGGGATTTTCCCGAAATAAAGACAAAGAAATAGATTGGAAAAGACGCTTTCGCTGGACCCAATTGGTTATCGCGTGTTCGTTGAGTGGTGCCGGTTGGACGATTGTGTTTTTAACCGATTTACGTGGAAAATGGCGGAACCGAAAGAGCGACCTAGAAGAAAAATAGAAAAAACAACGGATAAAACAAATGCCGAGGTAGAGGCGAGTGGAAATGTAGAAATGACAAATAACCCGAAGTCAGGGCCGGATCTAGCTGAGCTTTCTAGCCAGTTGAGTTCGATTTTGATGTTGGTACAAGAAAAGGACAAGGAAATCCAAGCACTTAAGAAAAGTATGGATACAAATCGGTATGTTTCACAACCAAATATTCCATTTTCCGAAATTTCGTCACAGATACCGGAATTTTCTGGTGAAAAAGATTGTTTAAACATTGAGGAGTGGACTGAGAGGATCTATAACTTGATTCTGATATATGAGATACCTGATCGTGTTGTTAAAATATTAGCTACGAACAAATTAAAAGGAAACGCACGTAAGTTTTATGATTCAAGTGACCTGATTTCTAGTACATGGGACCAAGTGAAAACTGCTTTAGTAGAGATGTTCGAGGTGTACGAGGATGTTGCGTCATTGGTCGATAAGGTTAGAGCGAAGAGATGGAAACATGGAGAAAGATTTGAAGATTATTATCATGAAAAATGTAAATTGGCTAAACGTGCTGGTATGTCGGAAACAGAGACAATCAGTCACATTATCCGAGGTATCGATAACTTTCCATTGCGAACTCAATTGGTAATGGCTCGACATGGTTCGTTGAAAGACTTGTTGGACACTATGAAACTTGTACAAAACGAAGCGGGTTATATTGGTCCGAGAAAGATGGAATCTACTGAGATACGTCAACCGAAGAAAGCAGAGAATAGCGGAAGTAACAATGCTGGAAGTAGGAGCACGACCAACATTACAGGAGCTGCACAACGAAATCAAGAAACGCGAGACATTATTTGTTTCAATTGTCGCAAACCAGGACACATAGCCCGTAAGTGTAGGGAACGTCGCGTCGAGAATCGCGAAACGGTTCAGGTGGTTACTGGTAAACTGATGACAAAGTACCATAAAACAATTTTGGTTGGTGATAAACAATTCGTGGGACTAGTAGACACGGGGTCTAACGCGAACTTAATTAAAAATAATTCGGCGAAACGAATTGGATGCGAATTTCAATACCAGCGAAACGTATTGACAGGACTGGGTACGGTGCGCGTGGATAGTGAAAGGGAAATAAATACCATAATTAAAATAGACAATTGCGAGTACGAGATCTGTTTTATTGTTGTTCCGGACTTCGCGATAGACACTGACACGATAATCGGGCGCAAATTTCTCGATTCGGTGATGTGGACAGTTACTAGAGACAATGTTGAATTTCGAGCGCCAAAATCTCAGTTAGAGGAGCATAATCAAATAGATATTTTTCAGATTGAGCTAGATGATTACAACATGGAAGAAGAATTATCCATTAATCAACAACTTCCAATGGAAAAGAAGAAAGAAATTGAAGAGATCGTGCGAAAATCCGACTTTTATGATTCCGAAACGAACTGGGATACGATTACAAAGACAAAGATGAAGATCAAAATGAATACTAATGAACCAATTTCATCAAAACCACGAAGAATGGGTTTCCATGAAAACAAAATAGTTAATGAAATAGTCGACAAATGGCTGAGGGACGGTGTGGTGCGTCCAAGCGTTTCAGAATATTCTAGTCCAGTTGTATTGGTTAAAAAGAAGAATGGAGAAAACCGGCTATGCATCGATTTTAGAAATATCAACAAGTATACCCTGAAAAGTCAATTTCCAATGCCTGTGATTGAAACTTTAATTGACAATTTAAGTGGATCCAAGTATTTTTCATTATTGGATCTGAAAAATGGTTATCACCATGTAGAGATGGACGACGAATCTGTTAAGTATACATCATTTGTTACATCTACGGGGCAGTACGAATTTTTGAAGATGCCGTTTGGGTTGTCAGGGGCACCAGCAGTGTTTTCGAAGTTTGTGGCAGAAATATTTAAGGACATTGTAAAGGATGGAGAACTTGAAATATACATCGATGATATACTGGTTCATACATCGACATTAGAAGATCATGTCTTGTTGTTTAAAAGAGTGATTGAAAGGATTAGAAAGACTAAATTGCGACTTCGTTTAGATAAATGTTATTTTGCCATGAAAGAGATTAATTTTTTAGGCTACCAAGTAAGAACAGGTGAGATAATGCCTGGAAAAGAAAAAACAAAAGTCATCGACAATTTTCCAATACCCGGAACGTTAAAGGAGATTCAAAGATTTCTTGGATTAACCGGATATTTTCGAAAGTTTATACAGGGTTATTCACGAATAGCAAGACCGTTATCAGATTTGTTAAGGAGTGACAAGAAATTTATGATGGGCGAAAATCAAAGAAATGCATTTGAGAAGTTGAAAACTTGTTTAACAGATAAACCAACGTTAAAGATATTTGACCAATCACTAGATACCGAACTCCATACAGATGCAAGTGTGGCGGGACTTGGTGCATGCTTATTACAGCGTCATAACGGAAAATTACATCCTGTTTACTTTGCAAGCTGGAAAACATCACCTGCTGAAGAGAAATACCATAGTTTTGAGTTGGAAGCTCTAGCTATTGTCAAATCGTTAGAAAAATTTAGAATTTATTTACTAGGAAAGAAATTTCGTATAATAACTGATTGTAATGCATTGCAGCAAACGTTAAAGAAAAGAGAGGTAAATAGACGAATATTAGGATGGAGTTTAATAATGCAAGAATATGAGTATGAAGTGGAACATCGAAATGCTGATAGAATGAAACATGTTGATTGTTTAAGTAGAGTATATAAGACTAATGTAATAAACGTCACAGAAGAAGTAATAGCAAATTTAGTGGCTAGTCAAGAGAGCGACAAAGATATCAAGGAATTAAAACGAAAAATTCTAGATGAAGAAGAACTCATTATGGAACAAGGGTATTCTATGTTAAATGATAAAGTGGTGAGAAAAATTGATGATAGAGTAGTATATGTTGTACCTAGAGCAATGAGAAAATCATTAGTAATGGAGACTCATGGACGACTTGCACACATGGG